AAGAGTTTAACCAAGAATGTCTGCAAAGGACATAACAAGGAATTAGGCAAATTGGTTTCAAAAGAACAGGCTGCTTCAAAGTTTGAATGCTTCAGCATTATCATGCATGGATTTTGCATGTACGTATCGAAAAGATCTGATTTGGAAAAGTAGGAAAACAAAAAGGATTTATCTTTGAAACTTAAAGGACATGTCTTGTGTATATTTGGCTTACAAATTGGACCACTTCTTCTCATATCATGGTATGTGACCAAACTGTTGCCGGGTCTTGGGCAACCTGGCCGACTATCAACGACTGTAATAATAGAACTTCAAACCAAACAACCGCCTTCGGTCTATCGGGACCTAAGTTCTTTTCGGCCTTAGCCCTTTATAATACATTTTTATGTTTCAAAGTTGATCTTCTAAATTCATGATAACTTCTTTTAATATTAGTTCAAACATTATTTCACATTCAACATGTTGTAATTAATATTTTAGACAGTCAAACCTTATATATATTTTTTCTTAATGATAGTAATACATGAGTTTTCTTAATTAATTACCCACTATAACAACAACAATAACAATCATATGTAATCTAGAGGATTCCTTTGTCATGTTGTAATGAACGTAGGAAACTATCAATATGTATATATTGGTTTACATTACCTTTTTCTTCTTCATATATAAACCTCAAACTATTACATTTTTTTCAATGTTAATATTGGAAGTCAAAATCCCAATATTGCTTCTTTCTTCATAAAACTCAAATTATAGCATATATGAATTTAAGGAGCGATCCTAATAACAAAAGATAGCATATTTTTCTTGGATGATCTGGATTCAAAAAACATTATATGTGATTTTATATAAAAAAACATGATGGGTATCATAAAAATACTAATAAAAATATAATCGTAGCCTGAATAATTATGGAGAATAATGTAATCAAAATTGATCATAAAAAATTAATAGTTAGACCATTAAATGGAAAGATAAAGACACTCATAATTCATAAGAAAAATCAAACAAAATCAACTCGTATGAAAATAAGAGAGTAATATAAATTCAAACTTTAGCCTATCTTCTTGAAAAAGTAAAAGGAAATTCGTATATTCAAGCATACATAATCAAATAAATTTTAACAAATTCAACAAAAACACCATAATATATATATATATATATCTAAACATAATATTCAGACCTCTATCCAATTTATATGCAACTCTATATATACAAAATTTTCAACTACGTACTCCCAAATTAAAATAAAAAGAAAACCAACAAATTGATTAAGTGAACACTAAGTTTAATCCAATGAGTTCACGTGGTTAACATCGATGTCCTCTTTTACAAGAAAATAGATTGGAAACAATATGGATGGTTTAGTATTATTTTTTGGATAAATCAGGTATTATTATCCAAGAGCAGAATCTTCTTTACTATACATCAAGGTTCGAAACAAAACAAGCTACAAACAAGAAGATCAATGTTCAACTATACCCCAATGATTGCATAGAGAAATATTAACACTATCGACTCTATTAATAGTCCTACCGCTTAGTTGTAAGCTTACAGTATCTTTAATAGCTTTAAGAATCGCTTCTGCAGACCTTGTTCGATTTTGGAACACCCTTTTGTTTCTCTCTTCCCATAATGTGTAAATGAGAGCATTGAGAGCTATCTTCATGATCATAGTAAGCAATGATTTCCCTTCCAATTAGAACTAGCCGATGCTATAAGAACCTCCCATGAACAAGCAGTAAAACGTAAACCATAAAGTGGGAAGAATGTTGTCCAAATTGTAACAGCAGTTGGGCATTTTAAAAATAAATGGTCCCTTGTTTCCTGTTCAGATTTGCAGAGTACACATATGCTTTCGCTGATAAGTCCCATTCGTTGAAGTCTGTCCTTTGTTGGAAGTTTATCAAGGAAAGCCATTCATGCTATCAGACTGTGTTTAGGAATGTGCAGGGGAAACCATAACAGTTTCTGCCAAGGGACCTTTGCCTTCTTTTCCCGAATAGAATCCCGGATTTTAGTGACTTTTATAGCACCTGAAGACAGAATATGGTGAGCCTCACGTCTGAGTTTCAAAAGTCTCTTGAAACTCCAACTTGCAGTGGAGTTAATTCCCACATACCAGAAATCTTTCTCTTTAAAAACATAGTTTTTTAAGCCAAGCTACCCATAGAGATCCGTCTTCAGCTAGGATGTTTTAAATTAATGAGATCATGCATGCTTTGTTCCAGGATTTCATATCCTTAACCCCAAGCCCACCTTCGAATTTCAAGAAACATATATTTTTCCAGCTCACTCTTGCTCTAGAAGCTGATTTGTCAATCCCTTTCCAGAAAAATCGGGAGCAAAGTTGTTCAATCTTCATCAAAACAGAATTTGGCAGGAAAAGTTGTCTACACCAGAAGTTGGTAACACTAGTCAGCACAGATTTAATTAGTTCCAATCTTCCTGCATAACTAAGAGTTTTACTGGACCAGTGGTGCAATCTGGATTTGATGTTATCAATGAGAATAACACAGTCTTTTTCTGAAATTTTCCTTGTGAGAAGAGGGATGCCAAGATATCTCACAGGCAGGGAGCCATTGTTGAAGCCTGTAATTTGTTGAATATTTTCGATAGCACTAGTAGACATACCAACATCAAAAATTCACTTTTAGAGGCATTAACTTTGAGGCCTGACATATCATAGAATAAATCTAAGATACTAGTGACCCCGATAACAGATTCCACAGTCCCTTTGCAGAAGATAAGAAGGTCGTCAGCAAAGGATAAATGAGTTAGACCTATCTTTTTTCATTTGGGGTGATAGCCAAACATACCTCTTGAAGCTGCCAAGTTAAGAAGTCTGGAAAGGATATTCATTGAAAGGACAAAGAGTAAAGGGGAAAGAGGGTCTCCTTGCCTCAGGCCCTTAGCTCCCTTAAAGAAACCAGTCAAGCTCCCATTGAATGAAATAGAATAGGTAGCTGTAGAGAAACAAATTTCAATCCATTTGACAAAAATCCTTGGAAGCCCAATGGCCTTCAAAATAGCAGAGATGAAGTTCCAATTTAGTGAGTCAAAGGCTTTGTGAAGATCTACTTTCAGAGAGCGTCTAGGAGATAAGTTCTTTCTACTATAGCCTCTAACTAATTCTTGGGCAAGAAGTGTGTTGTCAATGATGCTTCTACCTTTAACAAAAACGGTTTGGTTGAGAGTAACCAAATCAGGCAACAGAGTAGTTAATCTTCTAACAATAATTTTTGAAATGGCTTTGTAGACCACTGAACAACAAGAGATTGGTCTGAAGTCCTTTACCAAAGCAGGGAAGAGGTAGGACTCTTGGAAAAATTGGGATATAATAGCTACAACATCTTTCTCAATAATAGACAATGATTTTTTGAAGAAGAATGGTGAATACCCATCAGGTCCTGGAGATTTTTCATTTCCTTGACTGAAAAAAGCCTTTTTGATTTCCTCCTTTGTGACATCCTTCACGAGAGCATCAGCCTTGTCGGCAGGCAGGGAATACCGTAGTAAATCCTTCAAAAAATTAGGATCAGTGTCTTTGATTGCAGGATCAGCAGTGCCAATCAAGTTTGTGAAGAATTTTATCACCTCAGCAGACATTTGATCATATGTTTCCAACCTATTACCATTTTCGTCAATGAGGATGCGAATAGTGTCTTTTTTGTTTTTAAGAGCGACTGCAGAATGAAAAAATCTGGTGCATTTATCTCCCTCTTTCAACCACTGAACTTTTGCTTTTTGTCTGTAGAACAATGTTTGAGCTTCTTCCAGATTTTTTAACTCATTTTGAAGGAGAAACTCCTTTGCAATACCATCCTCTCCTTTTAAAGATTTAAGTTGTTGCTCTAAATCTGATTCTTTTGTTTAACCCTTGCAGGAAGGTCACTGTACCATGCCTGGTTAAGATTTTAAGGCTGATTTTCAGTCTCTTTAACTTGGTTAAAGTATTTGCATTGGGTGCCCTTGAGATGGACCAAGCCATGACTGTTTGACCACTTTCATAAAACTAGGGTGTTGAGACCAATAATTGAAGAATTTAAACGGCTTTGGTCGGTCAACTTGAGCTTCTTTTATGAGCCATACTTGAGCAAGACAATGATCGGAGATGCCGGGGGCTTGGAATTCAACATGCGAGTCCTTGTAAGTGGTCACCCATTTAGGATTAACTAAAACTCTATCGAGCTTCCTTGCAAGGTAGGAACTTTGTTGTTTGTTGCTCCATGTGAAAGAAGGGCCAAATAAAGGGTGATCAATCAGATCAAGATCAGCGAGAACTTCTTGAAAGTCTCTCATGTCAGAAGTAGATAAAGGGCCAATGAGATCATAGTCAGAACTTTCGTTTGAGTGAAGAATTATGTTAAAGTCTCCACCAATAATCCAGGGAGAAATGCCAACAGTAGCTTCAAGATCTCGTAATTGCTGCCAGAGGAGTCTTCTTGAAATACCATCATTGCTACCAAAGACTGCAGTGATGACTAAGTGAGCATTCTGGTATAACCCTTTGATTGACATGCACTGGTCTGAAGAATGAACAATCGAGAAGTCCAAGCCTTGTCTCCAAAGGATCCATATCTGACCATTTAAGGCATAGTCGTAATTGGTGTATGCATTCCAGCTAGAAAATTTACTGCCAAGAATAGTTACAGACTTTTCTTCCTTTACTCTTGTTTCTAACAAACAAAACACGTCTACTTTATTTTGGTTTGCTCGTCTAATTATTCTGTCTTGCTTTTGAGGACTATTGAGTCCTCTAACATTCCAAAAAGCTAGGATCATTTTGATGAAGTATCCACTTTACCCCCTCCACCTCCACCTTCGGTTTAGTATTATTAAATTGAGTTATATAATTAAAATTTTACGGAAATGATATTTTAGGAAAAATGAATTTTATATAAATTAATAATATATATATATTTTTTAATAAACTTTAAGAGTATATAAGATTAAATATATATTAAATTTACATCATTAATATTAATTTGACCATTAATATTTTAAAGTTATAATTATATATTTTAGAGTAAAGTATATAAATAGTCCCCGAACTTTTAGGACACTTGCATTTTAGTTACTCAACTTTTGATACTTGCAATACAATCATTGAATTTTTAGTTCGTTTTCAATAAGGTTAATACTTGCAATACAATCATTGAATTTTTAGTTCGTTTTCAATAAGGTTACTATCGTTACCTCACGTTAGTTTTTACTGACGTGGCAGCTTCTTCTTTTCTTCTTCTTCTTCTTCTTCTTCTTCAAAACTCTAACTAATCATTTGCAAATCAAAAACACATATTTATAGTAAAAATCAAAACTTTTCAATACAAAAGAGAAAATAGATAAAAACAATAATACAACAATCTTGTAAATATAATGAAAATCATTACCATGTTTACGCTTATAAGGAAGTGTTCCCACCTCAAGCAACTTAGCAATTTCATGGATTCTTTCTCTCTCTCTATTTTCCCACTATTTTCCCAAGAAAATCCAACTTCTCTCTCTAATTTCTTAGGAAAAATGATTAACTCTGCAAGAAACACTTGCTTTTTAATTTGTCTTTAATGAAAAACTTATGGTTGTTTAGTTGTAAGAAATTGGTGGAAGCAATTGTTTATACGTCAAACGCCAAATATATTTTTTATTCAACTGAATGTGATTTACAGAATATCTTTGAAGTTTTCATTTTGATTTTATAGTTTCTTGTGTTAGTCTTTATTATAATTATTTTTGGAGTAAGCAAGTTAATTGTTAGATTGTTATGGTAGAGATTTGAGGGAATACTTGTTGCGAAGATTGATAGGCTTATTATATTTGATGAGGTTTTGGTTCTTTCAAGCTTCGTGTCCAAAGCAAGTCAGATTTGTTAAGAAGTTGGTTTTACGTATAAGTTTGTGTGGTTGGTACTAATTGTTGCATTATATGATTTATGAGTCTTTCATTTGTTTGTGTAGAGTATCATTAAATGATTTATTGGGTGGAAGGAAACCATCGGAAGGAATGATGGATTTTATTGTAAAGTTAATCAATTTTTTTCTTGAGAAAGTAGATAGAGAAGCTGAATTTTCTTGGGAAATAGAGAGAGAAAAATAGTCCAAGAAATGAAAAGGCTTTGAATATGATATTTGAAGAAGAAGAATAAGAATAATGAGAAGCTGGAAGAAGAAGATGAAAAGAAGCTATCATGCAAGGAAGACGTTACAAAAAGAAAGAAGAAGAAGAAGCTGTTGCAAGAAGAGAAAGAAAAGAAGCCGCCACATCAGAGAGTTAACGACAGTTACGTGCCATGCTAGCAAAAACTAACGGGAGGTAACGGCAGAGACTTATTGAAAACGAACTAAAAGTTCGATATTGTATTGCAAGTTTCAAAAGTTGGGTGACAAAAATGCAAGTTGCCTAAAAGTTCAGGGACTATTTATATACTTTAACCTATATTTTAATAATATTATTTTTAAGATTTGAATTTACTCGAAAAGTTTTAATTAATTTATCAACCGAATAATTTTACATAAAAATGAACAAAAACTAACTTTTAATAGGTCAAGCCAATGGAACAGACCGGCATAGTCAATTCAATGAGATAGTCAAAATTTGAACACATGACAGGACCAGACCAAGTACACGTGAACTGCTATAAATAAGCCACCAATGCACACTCTAACCTTTCATCTCTAAAAAACAATCTAAAAATCCAATCTTTCCTTTGCACAAAGATCAAATCTAACATTTTCAAATTTCCTCTGCTGCTTTTGTACAAAACCATAAACATATATGGCTACTTTACATGTTTTTAACTTTCTTGTATCTTCTTCTTCAAAACAAATTCATGCCGTCATGTTCGTCCCAAAGCTCCCATCGATAAAGTTTTCATCTCTTAAATTGAAACCCAAGATATTGTCTCAAAAATCGAAGACGGGAGACGAGTTCATCACCACAATCCCAATCGAAAAAAAAGTTAACGAGACACTATCGTTTCAAACGAACTCATCTATTTCAATGGCTACCTTACAACAACTTTATGTACTGTTAGAGGCGGTAGCTGATAGAGTGGAGATGCATAAAAACGTTGGAGAACAACGAGATAACTGGAACACCCTTCTACTTGATTCTATTAACATGATGACTCTCACTGCAACAACCATGGCCGGTGTTGCTGCTGCGACTGGCAACGGTGGCGCTGGGATTTCTCTTTTAGGTTTGAAGTTAGCATCCTCCATCATGTTTTTATCGGCCACCGGAATGTTGGCGTTGATGAACAAGATTCAACCCTCACAGCTTGTTGAAGAGCAACGTAATGCGACGAGATTGTTTAAGCAGCTTGAAAACCAAGTGAAAACCCTAGTTGCCGTTGGTTCACCCACCCAAGATGATGTGAATGATGCTATGGAGAAAGTGTTGGCACTTGACGAAGCTTACCCTCTTCCTTTGCTGGGTGTAATGCTTGAAAAGTTTCCGGAGAATTTACAGCCTGCTGTTTGGTGGCCTAGAAACAAAGCGAAGCAGTTGAATGGAGAGGTGAAAAACAACAATGGGTGGACCAAGGAGTTGGAAATGGAAATGAGGGAAGTGGTTAAGGTGATCAAGAGAAAAGACAGTGAAGATTACGAGAGATTAGGCAACAAAGCATTGAAGATAAACAAAATTTTAGCTAAATCAGGGCCAATACTAACTGGAATTGCAGCTCTAGCCATGGGGTCTTCCAATGAAACTTGGGCAGCAATCATGGCGGGTGTTGCAGGAGCTTTAGCTTCAACAGTTAACACGTTGGAGCACGGTGGGCAGGTGGGTATGGTGTTCGAGATGTATAGGAACAACGCTGGGTTCTTTAAACATTTGCAGGAATCTATTGTATCAACGTTGGATGAAAGTGACGTGGAAAAAAGAGAAAATGGAGAGTTGTTTGAAAGGAAGGTGGCATTGGCATTGGGAAGAAGCTTATCAGAACTGAGAGAGCTTGCCAAAAACTCCAGATGTTGCCGTGTAGAAGGAGACCCCATTGATGAATTTGCAAGCAAGCTGTTTTGATCAGTATATAATACTATGTATTTATACATATACCATGATTCTTTAAATCTTCCATTCATTCAAGTCTAATTAGTATTATGTGAAATTAAATTCATTTTATTATATGCAAATGAGCACCTAACGGAACTTAATCTGCATCTGGTATCTCAAACTGGGTAGGAGCAAAGTATATATATAAAGTAGGTTAAAACATGCTTATATAATTCACACCAAAAGAAACAGGTTTATTTGAGAAACAAATGTCAAAGTTGATGGAGTTAAGCGTGAGACATAGGATAAGAGGAGAAACCATGCATGTCTAGGGATGTCCATCATCATTACTTGAGTCTTTAACCCCACCGTTTCCCATCAAAACCAAAACCAACCCAATGCCCATTCCCATGTCCATATCCTTCTCCTTCTCCTCCGCCTCCACTACCACCATCACCACCTCCTAATGAGCCATCACTTCCACCTGCACCATAAACATTCCCATGGCCATATCCTCCATTAGCACCTTTTCCAGCACCAGCACCATCACCTTCCCCTCCTCTGCCTTCTCCTACACCAAAACCACTACTATAGCCAGATCCTTCACCTAAACTGCCATAACCACCGCCATTCTCCGTTCCTATACCACCTCCAGCACCATAACCCCTACCTTCTCTACCAAAGAAGCTACCACAACTTCGCCAACTAGAGATAGTCATTTTGAAATATAAGAGTAGGTATAATCTATTGCCTAAATGATTTATGCGATTATTATGCTAAAAATGGCTATTGTTTTTAGGTTGAAAATCAAATCTAAAGGATTTTACTTGGAACCAAATTTATTTGGATTATGGATGCATGGGGTCAGAAGCCACCAATCTTCCACGTATGTGGGATCAGTACCAAATACGATAACCCTTTACTCTTGCAAGTTGTTTAGGACAATAATAGATTGTACGAATTTAGTTGTTGGAAAACATTTAATTTTGATAAAGAAATGGTGAAATTTGGAGTGGAGTAGGATGGATGGGTTGGTGTAAACGTTTAAAATTGACTTAAATATTTTAAATTAAATATTCTTTAGGCCTCTCAGTTTTAAACTCAAAAAAATTAATCTCTCAAAATATTAGAAATCTTTTAGACTAAAATATTTACTTTTCAAATATACAAAAACAAACATCTCCTTTTATAGTAAAAGGACTAAAGAAACTTTTAGGTATAATAAAGGACCAAAATGTTCTTTTTATATAAAGGACTAAAAAGAACTTCTAAATATAGGACATGAACTTCTTTTGTATTTGACCGAAACTCGTTAAAAAGTTCAGGAACAAGCTAAGCCTCTTGTTCGTAGATTCGAATAGGGTATATGAATATCAAATGATATCCATACATTTAAGGTTTTTATACAAAAATGGCGAATGCTGTAAACTATTTGCATCAATCCGTCTGGTCTATACAAAATTGCATACCAAGTATGCTTGAGAGTACGGATGGAAATAGATGAACAAATTCAAGCTTAAATCGATGCCGAACTAGGCATTATTACTAGAGATTGTTAAAAGCAAGCCGTAATGATCATTCGGCAAAACAGGAAGCTCCAGTAACTTCTTCTCTTGTCGGTAACTCTTCTCCTTGGTATACGAAAGACCAGGTATTGGCTCCATTCCGATCATCTCAACCCCACTGACTTTGAAATCTTTCATCTTGCATATAAATCGGTCTAGCCTCTTTCGTAATGATCGATTTCCCGACAACATATGGTTCGATTTAGTATCATATGTGAACCCGTCTTCTGCTGGCCTTAACTCTCTCCAAGGATCGATCCATCCATCGGGGAAAGGAAACTGACTGTCTAGTTTGTCATCCCAGTTCATATCACCCCTAGAATAACATTGTGGTTATTCTGGAGATTATTGATTGCCACTTTTGCCTGCTCCACACGTTCCTTACTAAACATTTGATCCCATTTTGGAGGGCTTGGACATGGACTCTCGAGATGGCTCGTAGCAACAACCAGTATCTCACCCCCCAAAACTTCCACCTCGGTCATGCAGAGCTCTTGTCCCATTATCGAATTATCAAAGGGTTTACGAATTGAAGGATTTCACAGGCAGTTTGCTTAACTACCAAGTAATACAGTAGCGAATGAGATATTAGGAACAATTTGCTTAAAAGGGTCATGTACTTAAAACATTGATTCGGCCGGCCTAAAACTAGACAGATTAAGGACAATATGTATCAAATCAAAAGACACAACTAGGCTATCAATCAAAGGCATACCTGCCTACAAAAGTATGCTCTCTGCTCCTCTGTGCAGTCCAATACAGAGCATCGGTACCATTTCCACCAGTTGGACCGATGAAATACATCATATATCTCGGGGGTAACCTCCTAGAACAACAGCCACAATGATCACAAGAGTAAACATCAAAACAGTAAAGCAAAAGATCCAACAAACCTGAAAACAAATGACATCAGGGAATGAAGTTGAATAAGATCACCAATAGCTTTCATCCTCTTATTCAACTCCAGGTCTTCCCGGACCAAACATTGTAGCTCAAAATCTTCAATGAAGTCTTAACTGACCCTGAATTAGTCTCTGTTGACAACAAATATGATGAATGTCAAAACCCAAAATTAAAAAAAATCCTAAATCGGGTTTGGGAAAATCAAAACTAACCCTTTATTTGAACAGCTTTATTAGAGGCCTTGATGCCTCGGAATCCACCCAATTGGACACAATCTTCGTCGCCCAGATTTGGTTCGATGTTCTTCCTCTTGTTGCAAGGCTTCAAAGGCAAGAAAACAGAGCCAACAGAAGAATCGGCATCCTCGTTAACTTTCAAATTGTCGAGACCCGAAAGAAAAGGTTCAAAAAGGTGCAAGCTTTACAAGTCCATCTAGGAGGCGAAGACGATGAAGGCGACGTCGAAGGGGAGGGAGGAGAGAGACTGATTTTGCAAGCGGAGGTTTGGAATGGGGAGTTGAGGAAACTGCATTTCTTGCAAGACCAAGACATTGTTCTTGGATTGGGTCTGAAGATCGTCGCTGCTCACCGGGGAGAATGAAGGTTTTTTGAGAGCACGGGTCTAGGGTTCAACAAGAACACAAGTGGCCTGAACAAGGACACCATTTCAAAAGTTAAATGTCTCCTGCGTTCCCACTTTTACCGCGTTTTGGTACTGGGTTCGGCGTTTATACTGTATACTGCTAGGCCCATTTAAGTATACATTCAAAAAACATATATGAAGCACGAACTAACTCGATAGTTAAAGGAATTGGTGTTGTTACTAAAGTTCACATGTTTGAGCATCAGCAGCGTGACTTGCTATCATCGATGCATGTAGATCCTTCTTTTACGAGCCGTCATTTGAAGTCTCAATGACTAGGTAATTCCATTGCTTTTCTTCGTATATTGTTGCAGGCCCTGGGAATGGAGCTAGTGAAGAAGGTTGAGAGGCCTGAATACAAGGTAGAAGCTGTTCTACTTGGATTGTATTTAGTTTACTTAGGAGGCCTAATGAACTTGTCTGGTTTTTGTTGCATTTCCTTGACAGTACTCCACAGCTTCGATGGGTTACGCCGAAGAACACGAGGTTACCGTTCTCGAGTTGACTTACAATTACGGAGTGACGGAATATACCAAGGGGAATGCATATGCACAGGTCGGTTTACTTGGCCTTCTGCTCTTATTCCAGGTTGCTATTGGTACTGATGATGTTTACAAAAGTGGTGAGGTTGTGGAACATGTTACACAAGAGCTTGGCGGAAAGGTTACTCGAAAACCGGGACCGGTACCCGGAATCAACACTAAAATCACCTCTTTCCCTAGATCCTGATGGCTGGAAACCTGTAAGTTTTAGTACTACTGCCAATGTTATTCTCCAGTAGGCTAAGTTTATGTATGTTGTTGGTATATCAATCAGCCTGGGTTGGACATGTAAGTTGAACATATGCTTTGTGCCTGCAAGTGACTTTCTCAAGGAACTGGGATTGGCAAACGGCAAGTGTAATAACATGGCGAAACCAACTCTCCGGGCAATCTAAGCGCACATAATGATGCTAATCAATAACTCTACCCTGTACTTTAAGCTGCCCTAAATGCATGTTTAGATATGGTCATTGTCTTACCACTTTAAACTATATTAGTTACATTTCTCTATCATATCATTATTCGCACGTAAATTATTATGTCAACTAATTTTACAATCATGTCGACATTATAAGACAAAAATCATTGATGAAAGAGGTTATATGATCTACTAATTAAACTAATTCAAGAGCTCAATTGAATGTTAAACAAAAAGTAAGATTTAATTGATATATCCAAATATGTTCGATGGATTTTTAAACTTTTATATCTATTTTATTTTATATATTATAGAATATGAAATTAAAAAATAACATAATATAACTATTATATTGAATTATTTGTGTTCAGAAATTTAATAAAAGAAACAAATATATAATTGTAGTAAAAGAAATATATAATTACTAAATACAATATTTTTCCAAAACAAATAAAATAAAAGATATATATGTTCCTTTTGTCTTGTTCTAATAATTCATAATGTAATGATGTGCGCTTCACTCTCACGGGTAATGCCGAAACGTATAAATGCAACAAAATACAGTGTTACAAATATATCACAACATATATAAAGTCGTCTTTTTTCTCATTTTAATCCAAAAATCACAGAATTTATATTTGATATATTAATTGTGTAATAATTATTATTAAATAAGATGTCGATACATCATTTAAAAAATTATAAATTAAATTTATTTAATTTTTTAGATATGGGGCGATATTTAATTTATCATAACATAGTGAATCATACTTATATTAAGAAATAAATTTAAGATAATAATGTGAAAAGATTTGATGATCTTTGCCAGGGACAAAAGGAATCAAGAGCAATGCACTTGGTAGATACTGTTTTCTTCATTTAGACACTAAAATCCAAACACCAGCAGTAGGCAAAGCCTCAACGACTTATCAAATCTGGGAACTAACAGTCTTCTCAACTGTTGAATTTTCATCAGATAAATACTGCAAACTCATGGCCTGGGTCATGCCTACTACCACTGCAGAAATCATGGGAGACTCTGATCGTCACGGCTTGAGCAACCGACATAGCCATCAAGACCCGAAGCCCAGAGGTTGCATAATTGCATAATCTTTTACGATTTCTCAGCTTAATTGGATTTCCATTAAGCTTCATTGTTTATGTTTTTGCAGAGGGAAAAACTGAGGAGACCAAGGTGGGATTCTCTGAGGATGAAGAGATGCTTATTGCCAGAATGCTTAATTTAGTTGGACAAAGGTTTTTGTGTATGTATATACAGTTTTGTATAACAATGGTATTTTTGCGTGCAGGTGGTCTTTGAAGGGAGAATAAGGACAGCAGAGGAGATGAGAAGTACTGGAAGGACATGTCATAGCTCACAGTCGGAGTCGCGAAACGAAAGATGAACATCTTTAGGCCCAAGTAACCTTATCGTGTTTGTATTATTATTTTCATGTGTTATAATCGTGTTTAAGGTATTAGTATATTACGTCATTAGACCGAGTACTCTTATGGTGTTTGTATTATTATTGGACATAATCTAGGTGGTTCAAGTGGCCTGAGTTCTTATAAAGAAGAAAAGCACCGGAACTAAGGTTTACAAACACAGTTCGATAAATAGTCATATCGAAATACTATATATACAGAACAATGAAAGGGAAAAAAAGGTGACATCGAATAAAAGAAAATGATAGATACATGATTTACACACAAACAATTATACAACTCGAACCGATTTGAATCCGTACTCTTGTACTCTTGTATTCTCGAAGAACAGGCTTTAGGATCAAGATAGTTAATGAACCTGGATACTTTCTGGTGGCACACTGTTAATTAGGTTACATCAGTCATCAGCAACTCGGTATTGCATGCTCGTAATGGAACAATCAAAGGGCATCTAAAAAAGCCTTCCGGTTTGTGCTCCACTTCTCATCATCGAGCAGAACTCATCGTAGTTAATTCTCCCGTCCTGATTAATGTAAACAGCATCAGCAAGGTATGTAATAAGTAACTTTATAAGAAGATACCAAGCTTGATTCAGAAACAAACTTACGTTGTCGGAATCCACCTCGGCGATAATTTCCTTGATGTTGGCTTCATTACTTATTCCATACTCCTTCATAGCAGCCTCTAGTTCGTCCATTGTAATGAACCTGCAAACAAGGATATGCATTTATATGAATCACAAACTCTACGACAAGTTCAACGTATAATGTGGCATTGCGGATGGTTTATCATTTGATGGGTATAATAATGATAACATGAAAATTTGGAACTCACCCACTGTTATCTTTATCGAAATGCTGGAATGCTTTGTACAGGTCTTCATCTCTTTCAAGTCTGTATCTATGCATTGTAGCTGAGATAAATTCGATATAGTCTATCGTTCCATTTCCATCCACATCAGCCTGAAGTACATTGCACATAATTTTTCAATAATCATCTATGAGCAAAGTGTTAAAAGTTTGGGTAGATAAATACTTACAGCATCCATTAATTGCTTGACTTCAGCTTCGTTGAGCTTGGATCCAAGACGGGCCAAACCTTCTTTCAGTTCTTCGTAAGTGATTGTGCCACTATTATCTGTGTCGATGTTTGTGAACATTGTTTTAAGACCTTTAATCTCTTCTTCAGATAGATTTTCAGCAATAACCTGGAGAATTTCATATAAGTCAGAATTATTAACTGAAGCTGGAAAGAACGACTAGACGGGTATTATTCAAAGGTTTAAACATATTAACTTGATCTTCTTCAATCCAGTAAGATACTGTACCTTTAATGCAAGCTTCTTCAGCTGATTCATTGCCCTGAATTGCTTCAATCTGGTTAGAACAGCAGAATTTATCGGCCTGTCTGATGCTTCACCTTCTCTCAGCCACGGATGCTCTAACAATACCAACATCACATGTTCATCAAAGGAATCATAATCAAAAGTTTTATAAAGAAAAAATCTCCAGGGGACTGTAACTAAAAATACAACAGAATAACAGACCGAGAGCTTGTGCAGCAGTAGGCCGTTTTTTGGGGTCCATTGTCAACATCTTTCTCACTAGATCTTTGGCACTTTTGGAGATCGAAGGCCACGGATCACTTGCGAAATCTATTTGACCTTCAAGAATGGCTTCAAATATTCCCTTCTCAGTTTCTGCAATACATTTTGAGCAAAATATATAAACATTATACGACAGAAACAGAACCGCAACAGCTTGCTGAAACATGTCAATTTCCTAATTACCAGCCCAAATGGAGGGACACCACTAAGTAGAATGTATAAAATAACTCCTGCACTCCATATGTCGATTTCCTTTCCGTAACCACGTCGCAGAACTTCAGGAGCTATGTAGTAAGCGCTGCCGACTATATCCCGATATTGCTTCCCTGCGATTGAAATGCAGAAGGATTAGTACATGAGCAGCAAAGCTTCATCTGAATCAAATAGGAAAATGTGGAAAATTAACCTTCTTCAATAAAGACAGACAACCCGAAATCGGTTGCCTTCAACATAGCTCTTTCATCCTTGCTAGACAAGAGGAAATTCTCCGGTTTGAGATCACGGTGCATCACTCCCATGAAATGGAAAATCTGAACTACATTCAGGACTTGTCTACAAATAGCAGCTGCAGCTCTCTCGGAGTAATGGCCCTGTGCAATGATCCGATCGAAAAGCTCACCACCAGCGCAAAGCTCCATTACAATATTGACAGACTGCGCATCTTCATAAACGCCCTTGAATTCAACAATATTTGGCTGACCGGATAAATGCTGTATAATTTGAACCTCTTTCTTGACATCATCTCTGTCTTGTTTATTTTTCAGCTTTCTCTTCAATATCGATTTGCAAGCGTAAGTTTTGCCAGTTGAATTCTCGGTGCACAAGTAAATTATGCCGAATTGGCCTCGACCGAGTTCCTCCCCGAGTGTGTAGTGTTTCTTAACGTCTTCCAATGGATTCCCTAATACTGTATCCCGCCTCACTTGAACTGCCTTTATGCTTGCTGATGAAGGGTTCGATTGCTGTGCCTGGTTCTGGTGGCGCTGCCTTGCTTTTGGAGCTTGTGTTTGAGATTTTACAACTTGTTCTTCTTGACCGGCTGCTCTTGGATCTTTGCTTGAATTGTTGCCATTGAGCTCAGCACCCGGCAATTTATGTTTGCTACGACAACAACCCATCTTTGGCTAACTTGAAAATTTCAACGAAAACAATTCAACTTTAGAACTGGGTTTCTCGAGAAGATCAAAACTTTACACAAAAATTTGAAGCTAATGTGTTCATATTAAAAACATAACCAGATTTTCTCTCTCTTCGCTCTTTCTCGTCAAAGTGCTTCCGTTAAAAAATTCAACTTTAATTTCCAGCTTCCAACTTTGCACCACCGTCAAACGCCGCCAGCCACCGCCTGCAAACCCAGAAATTTTCCGAAATTCACCGACAACTTTGTCTAGATATATCCTTTTCCCACTTATTTACAAAGTTGTGCTACCGTTCACCCTTCCAGAGGCCACGATTTACGAAAACGTTCTTCCACTCGTATCATTTTCCAAGTTCTTAAAAAAATTCCCAAAACTCCTCAACAAAACTATGTAACAGAAGAGAGAGAAAAGCTCTATTTTCTCTCTCTAGCTGTTTTGTTAGTTGGCTTTGGTTGATCTGGTTTCTTAAAAACCATCCGAGGATGATATTTTTTGCTGTAAATTTGGGACAAAAATGTGAACCCATCGTGTTTTTTGGGGTGTTATTCTTAATTTAAATGGATGTTCAATCGTTTTACTGGTTTGTAATGACGATTCTGCAAAATAGCCTTTCATTCAACTTGTGTTGTACCCAAAATAGAATTTGTTTTTAATTAGTTTAGGAGAGAGATAAATTTATTCAAAGATCGAACTATTTGGTAGAATTTACGTAATTGTTATAATATTGATGAAGAAAGTATTTTAGGTTAAAAGATATTTATAAAAATTATTCAACATATAATTATAGGCGAAATGTATTAAGATTATATAAAATAAATATATTATTATAAAATATGAGGATGGTTCTTGATTTTTTAAAGAGAAAACTAAACCCTAAATGGAAGCCCACTTATCCTCTCAACTCTCTGTAGGCGCGCTCCTCTCTCCATCAGCGTCTTCCATGGCTGTGAGTTTTTTTTTTTTTATCATTATCATGTTTATTAATATATTAGGTTTCTGCTCTATGTGCTGGAAATTTATAGATGATTCACTGTTTTCTTAACATCGCAAAATGTTTCTCCATGATGAAAATCACTAGGGATTTTCTAGATCTACACTTTGGGGATTGTTCCAATCCAGATAGTTATCTTTTTTTTTCATCATGCACTTTTATTTACTGTAATTTGGCATATAAATTTCACTCATTGATCTTGTTAATGTGATCGTCACAGATGGTTATGTATATATAAGTTCTGCAGATGATTATATACGATTTTACAGTCTTGGCAAATTCCCAATGTTGTTTATTGGCAATGGCAATGTGATCTGTTACCAGCTTGAGGAAGCTAAAATCAAAAACCCAATTATGAAGTTTGATTTGTACATTTGCAATGTGATCAGATACCCTTTTTGTGTTGAGTGCAGTGCTGCTTCATTTTCATGGTTTTTATTATTACTGGAAAAAATGTTGATGTTTGTTTTACTTTTGTTTTTCTTATTGGAAGGAAAAGGTAGATCCGTTTGTTGAGATCGACAGATCGTAGGATGTTATCTTATTCGATAATAAAGCCAGACATACACATACTAGAAGTATTTATATTGAGTGAGATATATTGAATCATGTGGAGGAGGTTGTGGTGGTGTGAGGCTTTGAAGCAGGGCATGTCTGCTGCCATTGTTAGGAGACCTCCACCGTCTCTGCAGAATCCGCTGCTGTTGGAGAGAGTGACGCTGAAAGTTTGGTTGTCCTCTTCATCTTCTGATTCCGATGCAACCTCTGGTTCCAAAAAGACGGGAGCAGAAGTAGAGAGCGTAACATTTGCTGAGGCCAGGAAGTTGATGAGGCTGGTCAATGTGGAATCACTCAAGGCCAAGCTAGGGATAGAAGGTAAAGAGGTGGTTGGCTACTCGGAGTTATTGAAGGCCTGTGAGAGCATGGGTGTTGCTAGATCTCTAGACGAGGCCATTGCTTTTGCACGTGTTCTCGATGAGGCCGGCATTGTACTTCTTTTTCGCGACAAGGTTTATCTTCATCCCGATAAGGTACTTATCCCTATTTTGACCTTTACTCTCTTGTATTATGAGTTTCCTTTATATCACTGCATCTAAAGTTTTTGTTTCATGCATAGGTGTTGGATTTGATTAGAAGAGCAGTACCTCTTGCTTTGTTTGCCGAAGACGACCCTTTAAGAGATGAGCTAAAGAAGCTGCAGGAGAAGAAGGAAGAAATCGATGTGCAAGCGCATAAGCAAGTTCGAGGCATCCTATGGTGCGGTCTAGGATTCTCAGTGTTACAAGTGGGACTGTTCTTCCGGCTAACGTTTTGGGAGTTCTCATGGGATGTAATGGAGCCGATTACGTTTTTCACCACGGCCACCGGTATAGTCGTAGGCTATACTTACTTCTTGTTTACTTCGAGAGATCCTTCGTATCAAGATCTACTGAAGAGGCTTTTTCTGTCTAGGCAAAGAAAATTACTGAAGAAGCATAATTTTGACATTAACAGGTTGAAGGAGTTGCAAAACACGTTGTGATGCCTCTTTGTCGATCCGAAATCGTGTGGGGTTGGATGTAGAATTGGATGTTGCCTTACACAAGGATTAGGCATTATAGCTCTTCTTTCATGTATTTCTTTTGTGATGGAAGTTTTAATTAAGCAAACACAACCCATGATTTTGGTGACTATATTACAAACATTTTTTGGTGACCAAAATAAAAACTTTCTAAAGTTTGGTGACCAACCATGTAATTTACGTGCAACAGTAACACTACATGAAACGTCAAATTCAGTTCTCTTGAAATTTGAATATTCCCAGAGTTTGAGGAACCAAAAATCGACAACTTTATCCAAATATCACCCCCAAAAAAAAACATCATTCTAACCCTTTCTAAAATCGAAGCAATGAAGTGCGTGAGTGGGAACGTGCCTTGTTCACGTGGCTAGAAGACGCGTCCTAAAAAGAGTGCTTTCGCTAAGGTGGCAGGTCATCCAAAGAACTAAATTTTCATAAAGCATAGTTAAATAAAAAATACATTTTGAAAATATAATCTGCTTGTACTGCAACAGTGAAAAAAATAATCGTTGTCACTATTTATCTCAACAAAATGTATTTTTTTTTAAATATTCTTTATAAAAAATTTGGGGAAGGTTCGCCCCCATAAAAACACGTTTCATAGGGTGTCCTACCACTTCAATGAAGGCGTTTCCCTTAAGATGTCTTTTCGCCACTTGTGTAAGATATATTTCACCAAATACGCTTCCTTGTTTTGATTTAAGAAATAATACTAGTTTGATACATATTAGAAAAAATGTTAGAATGATAACATTTTTTAGGTGATATTTAGATAAAACTGTCCTAAAAATGAACTCGGGTTGATGATGACCGGATGAATCTTTAGCATAGATTTAAGGGAAAAAGGAAGGAGTTAATTAATCGAATTAAAAAAATTCTTACTTAATTTAAAAGTTAGTTTAATTAATTATATTTTATTAATTTTTGATTAATTAGATTTCAACTCATTCAATTTGGTTATCAAGCCGAATTAACCGACATCGTTTGGGAATACTCCAGGGTACTTTTTGTAATTTGGTAAACAAAATGTCCAATTAAATCCAGCGCCCACGATTATTTGTAGGGCTCCGGTTTCGAAATACTGAGAGGGGAAATTTTGCAGAGAAAAACAATTCACTTCAATGGTGTGCGAGAAGTGTAAGTTCTCTAATTCTGCAATTGCAGCTAGTTTCCTTAGCAATTTGGTGTAATCTATGGAAATTGTAAGGAGAAAACCTGATCTGTTTGATCAATTTAATTTGTAGGCCAGAAGAAGCTATCAAGGGTGATCGTGCCCGATAAGTGGAAGGAAGGCGCCAGCAACACCAACGAAAGCGGTGGCCGGAAAATAAACGAGAATAAACTCCTATCCAAAAAGAACAGGTATGTTCCTTGTTTTTTCATCTCCTATTTACTAATTCGCAAAACATGAGCAAATTTTAAATTCCGTAAAAGCTGGGTAGAATTCTTAGCTGTAGTCGTTGATCAGTATATTTGTTTAAGGAATGGCTTGATTGTTGCTGTAAATTATTATTGATTCTTCCAATCCTAGGGTTGTGTTCTTGACAGTGGGGAAATACTGTTATATTCATGCTGCTTTTCTGGTTTCTCTTTACTAATGAAAGTATTGGTCAAGAACGTAACCTAGGGTTTAGGATTTTAGCTGACCTTCAAGAATCCAGCAAATATATGACAAAACTTGGGAAAATCTAACAATGCTTAGCCATATCCGACACTCACCCCCAAGTTTGATTAACATAGGTTAAGGGTCCCTCTTATTTTTCATGCATATGCATTTTTTAAGATTTCATGATTTTGATTTGGAATCCATCGCCTGCAGATGGACTCCTTATGGAAACACTAAGTGTATCATTTGCAAGCAGCAAGTGCATCAAGATGCCAAGTACTGTCACACTTGTGCTTATTCGAAAGGTATGTCAGATTGATAAGTCGATGCCTCTACAACCTGACCATTTGATTTATTTATGTTTGTTTGTTTGTTATGTTGTGCATGTGGCCACTGATGAGTGTTTTATGCTGTGCAGGCGTATGTGCAATGTGCGGTAAGCAAGTGCTCGACACCAAGCTTTACAAGCAGAGCAACGTATAAATCGAAGGGAATATAAGATGGTCTTCAAGGAAATTTCATTACTACTATTTGTCATCGTTAACTCACCAACTTGATCAAAGAGGTTGTAAAAAGATCATCAAAATGTTAATGTTTACTCTGTATATTTTCTACTTTTCTCCCGGATCATCTAGCTAATCTTTCAGCTGGGTTCTCTATGATTACAATTTCATGGCATGATTGTACAATTTGGTAAATTATGCTTTCATTGAAAGGTTATTTAAAGTCATGGTATTTTCCTTTGGTTTGCCTATTCAATTGGAGTGATTATTTGATCGGTTTGACGATTGAGTTTCGACTCAATTTCTCAATCCAGTTGGTTGGACCCCCGGCTCAAATCGTTATAGCGTTAACATCAAGTCGGTTAAAGTTCCGAGATTCGATTCAAAATGAACACATCGGACAGTAAGATGATGAAAAAGAAAAAGGGTTGAAAGCCCAAAACATCAAACACACCATTTTGCTTGAAGATAATCCATTACCGTCATCTTCTTGACTCATCTTAAGTGACAGCAACAAATACCCAACATCGCTCTAGCATCAACTCGCTTGATGTACCAGATATTTTGCCCTTGTGCCTCTTCATTCGCTTGTCGAATATGTTCCAATACTCTAAAATTTCCTCAGCTGTTCTACCGGGGATTCTCCAGCAATTAAAGCCCACCTGACAATAAACAACCTTATAAAAAAATCAAACCTTGTTCTTTTGTTGTTGGGAAGAAAAAGCAAGAGACTTACCTCTCTCCAATCAGATTATACATCCTGATTATTAGTGTTTCCTCATCTTCAGAGAAGTTAAGCTTTGATTCTTCACTCGTTTCCTTCTCTGACCAAAAAGAGTAAGTGAAACAAAGAAAACAAATTTAAACAAAAAGAAGGTGAAGTGACGAGTACCTGAAGAATGTACACAAGTTTTACCAGAAGAGGAATGTTGAGAGCCAGCCATACCATATGAGGAGTGGAGGAGATTGTTTAGAACTGAAGTAAACAGAGGCGTGGGGAAGGGAATGATTAAATAATGTATGAAAAGTAGTGTGTTTGAGGGGTGAAACATAAATACGTTGTACGAGAGGTAGTTGAATGGCAGATAGGGTTATTGATCTAACTAGGTTGACGGGGGTAGTTCTGCGGTGTGGCGTAAAAAACGGTTAATATACAGCGTGACCGGTTAAAATTTAGACCGATTATGTTATATTATTTAACCGGAAATATTATAAAGTACAATAACATACTAAGTAGCGCTTATATAATGTAATAGGTAACGCTTATATAATGTAATAGGTAGCGCTTATATTTACCTATTTTATAAGTAAACCGGTATATTTATACCGATAGCATTGCAAATTTACCTATTACATTATATTATATTGAAAGTGTCCACACTTTTTATAAAAATGATCGATACTTCTTTAAAGTTATGTAATTTATGTTTTAATTTTTTTAATAGTGTTCATGTTTTCCACCTACAATATTAATTTAATAATTTCATTTGCACAAAAAATTATTTGATTGTTTTGATATTTTATAAAATAATATTTAGAATTTTTAATTTAATAATAATATATATCGTAACGTAAAAAATAAATCATTAGACGCCTATAATTACTAAATTAATATCTTAAAACTCACTCAAAAGATAACCTTAAATTAATATTTTCCACAGTGAAAAAAGTATGGACACTTTTATAAAAAGGATAGATACTTTACAATATAAGCACTACCTATTACATTATATAAACGTTACCTATTACATTATATAAGCGCTACCTATTACATCATATTTTTACCTATTATATTGAAAGTGTCTATACTTTTTATAAAAAGGATCGATACTTATTTTAAAGTTATGTAATTTATGTTTCAATTTTTTTTAATAGTGTTTCATGTTTTCCACCTACAATATTAATTTAATAATTTCATTTGCACAAAAAATTATTTGATTGTTTTGATATTTTATAAAATAATATTTAGAATTTTTAATTTAATAATAATATATATCGTAACGTAAAAATAAATCATTAGCGCCTATAATTACTAAATTAATATCTTAAAACTCACTCAAAAGATAACCTTAAATTAATGTTTTCCACAGTGAAAAAAGTATGGGCACTTTTATAAAAATGATAGATACTTTACAATATAACCACTACCTGTTACATTATATAAACGATACCTATTACATTATATAAGCGCTACCTATTACATCATATTTTTACCTATTATATTGAATGTGTTCATACTTTTTATAAAAATGATCGATACTTCTTTTAAGTTATGTAATTTATGTTTCAATTTTTTTAATAGTGTTCATGTTTTCCACCTACAATATTAATTTAATAATTTCATTTGCACAAAAAATTATTTGATTGTTTTGATATTTTATAAAATATTATTTAGAATTTTTAATTTAATAATAATATATATCGTAACGTAAAAATAAATCATTAGACGCCTATAATTACTAAATTAATATCTTAAAACTCACTCAAAAGATAACCTTAAATTAATGTTTTCCACAGTGAAAAAAATGGACACTTTTATAAAAAGGATAGATACTTTACAATATAACCACTACCTATTACATTATATAACGATACCTATTACATTATATAAGCGCTACATATTACATCATATTTTTACCTATTATATTGAAAGTGTACATACTTTTATAAAAAGGATCGATACTTCTTTTAAAGTTATGTAATTTATGTTTCAATTTTTTTTAATAGTGTTTCATGTTTTCCACCTACAATATTAATTTAATAATTTCATTTGCACAAAAAATTATTTGATTGTTTTGATATTTTATAAAATATTATTTAGAATTTTTAATTTAATAATAATATATCGTAACGTAAAAAATAAATCATTAGACGCCTATAATTACTAAATTAATATCTTAAAACTCACTCAAAGGATAACCTTAAATTAATGTTTTCCACAGTGAAAAAAGTATG